TGCATGTATATATATATATGGATTTATATGTTCTTTTATGCATGCATATATGTAAGAAAGTATGTGTGTATATATGCATACATTTCTGAACCCAATCCTGATAACAGAAGAGTACTTGAAATTCTTATTTTGATGGAAGCAAAAGTAAAAGATAAAAATCAAATGCAGAGTATTTATGGCAAAATATTGTTCATGCACGTCAGATGAGGAAAAAAATATCTGTAACAATAAGCTACATTGAAATAAGCAGAAGCACTGTAGAGTCATTTGGTTATTTTGAAGCAGGAAATGTGAAAAATGTGCAATGCCCATGCCAGGACTCGAACCCTGCACCACTTGAAATACGTGTCAAGTATGCTTCCAATTACATCACAAAGGCATGCAGAAAGGAGGGAGAAAATACCTTATGACACTTTCAAATATGTAGAAGTTTCATGAGGTTTCTGAAAGCCAAAGTTCTACTCACTGACCTGTCCTCAGGGACTGACAGCATTATTGTGGGATTTTTTTTAAGAATAATCTTCAGCTTGATAACTGTAAGAGATCAGGGTTAGGACGATATATGAAAAGCAAACATACTGGCATTCAACACAAGATTTTGGATTTGAATAGCTTAGCGCTATATGCTCTGTGTGGGTATCAGTCCTTAAAATTAGTAATTAAAGATGCTGCTAAATCATATGTAGAGCTAGTCTCTCTATTTGAAATCCTCAAATGTGATCCACAAAAATTGTGTTCTTAGGCTGAAGATCTAACCGCTGAACTACTTGTCATGAGAAATTTGAATAGAGCCTTTGAAAGTACATAGACAAGTAATGTTCACATAGGCCTGACTGATTTGAAAACTTAAGATTCAGTATGACATTGCACAAAAGAGTGAGCTTTTAGCTCAGCAAATGAAATGTGAGATAATAAATTACTTTCTTCTCTCATCATTTGATATAATATGCTTTTCTGAAATAACCATGTAAGCAAATTACCCACATATGACATATTATGGTCAATTTGAACTTTTAAAAGCTATGAAAAAGTTCTCGATTACATGCAGGAATAGTAGACTTAAAATTCCTGTGGAATTGTTAAAAATGGTGGATGTTAGACCATTAGAATTTGACTTTAAAAAAATGAATATTTAATTATGAATATTTAGTGAAGTTCCTGTAGATTTAGAAAAAGGGTTTTAAAAAAATATTAACATATTATTCTATCGACAGTTAAAGATTGCGAGATCTCGCCAAAGTTGCACCATTCGTTCCTGTGAAATTTCGAAGGAACTAACACATCTTTACTGAATAAGGAATTGCTATTCAACCCACTTTGTTTTTCCATTTTATAAAAAGGCTTTCCTCTATTTCTACCATTGCATTTCTCTATTTCTACTATTCTTGTTCTGTCCTTCTATTTTATCGGAAGCTTTGTTTAGAATACTATGAGTACAAACTTCCTACAGGTAATTGTTCCAGTCTATTACTTTTTTTATTCAGCTGGCTGATCATATTGTATCCATTAATAGACACTTTTTTAATGGTAGAATTCCATAACCTTAAAAATAATCCACTGCTTGCTATTCTGTAGAAAGTAGGTCCCAGATGTTAATATTTTTCCCCCTCCTTCAAAATACAAGGGCGCAAAATAGCAGTTTCTTTATATCTTTGTTCATAAAACCAAATGTAGCTTATCTAGAATCAAACAGGGTTACATCAAATAAAATCACAGATGTTAGGAGTATTTTGTTATGTCACACTTATGCATAACTGGTGTTGACTCGCTCTGCTTGGCAACAGTTTCCTGGTCGACGGGATAATAGGTAAGTACCCCCCCATTAAAAAAAAAAGATTTAATCCATTTATAGATAAAACTGTTTCTTCTTAGACAGTGATTTGAGCAGTTTTAATGGTGAATGTATACTTGTAATTTCTTTATGATCATTGAACGTTAGGAACTCATTAATAAAAACTGCAAATCTGTAACACATTTTGACACAAAGGGTAACTGAGGATACATTAGGCAGCCAACTGTATCGTATATTTATTGTATTTAATTTCTAGAATGGCAAAAACATAAAAAGAAGTTGCTTCTTTTATGAACTCTTTACAAGGTACTTATCCTGACGTATATGACATATATCCTGATATTTTTTTTTGATTCCATTATCAATAGCTGCAACAGGGAGATTTTCTAATCTGAAATTGATAAAACCTTATTTGAAAAAATGTTTAAGTGCTAAATGTTGGAAGTACTTACAACTTCTGTCAACAGAAAATGAAATTTGCTCAAGAATTACAATATGGTGCCATCAATTTTGACTTGCTTGTATAAAAGACCTATAGAAATAATTAATAATAACCTGCAAATATTAAAAGTGCAGTTTTTTAATTAACTAAATGAATGCATGTTTTGAGTAGAAGTACTAGTTTGTTTAATATACTTGGCATAATTGTATTGTTTGCCTAGATCACCAAAGTGCTGAAGTTAATATTACGGTCTTCTGTGCTGCAAAGAAGTTACTTAAAATTATCAATTTGAGTAAAATTCTTTTTATTCATACAGTGTATTTTGCATGGTACCATGAATCAGAAGTTTTTAAATCATGCTGAAAAAGCTTAAGAAAAATTGCGTGAGGGAGAAAAAAAAGGGTGTAAATATATTATCCGTATATGCTTTTGAAAAGACTAAGCAGCATTTTAAATTTTCCAAATGTTGCAAAAACAGTGCTCCATTGTCAAATATTTTAATGTATATGTGCTTCAAGTCATCAGTAAAGATTGAAATTGCAATTAATGTATTTTTACATGTGTTGATTTAATTGGTATTTTCTGATTATACACATCCCCACCTAACAGCTATGAACTGGTTGCCAACTTTGGAGAGAAACATTTATTCAAATATCCTTACATCTATTTCACTGATGTATTCAGTGCTGCCTATTACTTTATATTCTTTTTCCACAGAAGATAGACCCATTTCCATAATTTCAAAACTTAAATAAATTTCTTCTTTGTGGTTCCTCCATCTTATTAAGCTAGTATAAACTGACAAAAAGAAGACATCTTTTTTTGCCCTGCCTACTGTAAAAACGTGCACTTCCTTCGAATCATTAATTATTTTGCTTTTTTATTTCAAGAATTGAATATTTGGAGACTTGAAAAGCAATTTGAAATACCAGAAAATTACCAAATATTATTATCTACATATTTCCTTTTCTACCTCATTTTATTAGCTATTTATTGTCTATGTATTTTTAGATGCTACATCTGTGTGCATATATATATATATACAGTGGTGGCCCAAATTGTGGACACTTTTGGAAATTTTTATGTTTTTGAACTTTGTATGCTTATAGAAAATGTTACGTTTCGCAAAATGCAAACTTGTATACAGTCAAAAGTCGTTAATCCGGAATGATCTATAATCCGGACCTCAAAGCTACAAACTTTCTACGCATGCACACAGGCATTTATGAGTGCATGTAAGACCTTTACGGCTGCGAATATGCTTGTGCGCATGCGCGTTTAATGTGTAACGGACAGTATAAGCTAAGCTAAAATTATCTAATTCAGTTAATGTTGCAGATTGCGTTGTTCCTTAATCTTCGAATTGGATCCGGCTTATTATTTTTTGCGGACTGTTTGAGCAATTTTATAAAAGTAAGCTTGAACTTTCGATTATGTCAAATAGAATTTTCGATATATATATTTACTAATATGTAAAGGATGTACAAAGTGAAAGTGTGTTTCGAAATCCGAAATCTGTTTATCAATTTCATGCCGCGGCGCGCAATGAATTGCAAGTTGATCTGTCAGCACTATCCTTATCTTCAGGGCAGATGTTTTTATTTTATTTGGCTTATAACTTCTTACTAAATGTAGTATTTCATCTCGATGTACTCCGTCTTTGATATGATTTAAATCAAGTTCCTCGTCATTATAATTCGCTTTCGATAGTGAAGAAAGTGACCCAGAGGTTATTGAAAACGAAAAAATTTTGATTGACAAATTAGTCGGTATTCTCAACGCAGCAATTATAGGACTTTAACAGCGGAACTTTGTAACTAAACAAGAAATTATGTCTGTTTAATAGAATTAAAGAGAAAGTATTATCACATGAAACGAAACAACTTACATTGAAAGAAATGTTTAATACAGTAAACAAATAAATATTAAGCTTTTTCTTTTTGTAAATTTTGATACCCTTTAGATCATAATTGTTCTTTATTTCATAAATTATGGTTTCATATTTTTAATTTTGTAATTTCTCCATGCCATTTTACCAGATTTAAACTGATGATCTATAATCCGGAAAAATCGATAATCCGGAATCGCCGAAGTCCCGACGAGTCCGGATGAACGACTTTTAACTGTATATATATAGGTTGGCAGACTTTTCATATCAGTTCTCTTTAAGTTATTTCCACTATTCTAATATTTATTTTAATACTAGATTATAACACATACAAATAAGCAACTGCAGGAGAATTATTTAAAAAATATACAATAAATATGAAATGCCTATAAAGTGCTAAGTAAATAAGTAGATAAATAAATATTTACAGTAATTCCAAATAGACAAAATACCATTGTACAACAGAGCACAGAGAAATATAAATGTTTATATAGAAATTTTTAATAGACTAAGAATGCAAACGTGTCATTATTATAATTTTCTTTTTAGAAAAATGCCTATTTTGGAATAATGAACTTCATAGTAATATATATATATATTTTTTTTTAATTTTTAAACTTATTTTTTATTTTCACTTAGCGAAAGGGAAGAATACTGTGTAAAAATTTTGTTTCTATTCTACTATTGCACTTATGTACTGAATACTCGTACTGCATTATCATAAACTTCTGATATATTTTACTTATATTATCACAATGGCATGGGATTAATGTGAACTTTTATCTGATCGTGATATTGATTTTTTGTTTTTTGTTGTTTAGTGTATTTTATTCGTAGCAAATACTATATAGAGTTTTTTAATGTTTTATTTTTAATAGTCCAAGCCGAGGTCCTTGTTGTGATTCAAATTGCCAGTATGTGAGAGAGGGTCAACTTTGCAAATCTGAATCAGATTGCACAAGGCAGTCACGTTGCAAGTATCCTTTTACTGCCATTTGACCAGGTTTTTTTTATACACATTGAAAAAGTTAAAACTTAGATTTTCTTTTTAACTCTTTGCACTTGAAGTACTCTAGTAGCAGACCTACTAACAACTTGAAAATGTAGATTACCAATTATGAAATTACAAAGTAAAATTTAATAACAAAATGTAGATTGTACTATCTTTAGAGCTCTATACTTCAACACGAACTGCATTCAGCTTTGAAGGCTGTTTATTTCTTTAGGCTATAGTCTTAGACTTGTTTACCTGTCTTTTAAAATGACACATTATCCCTTTCTTATTTGCTTTCATTGTGTGAGGTATGGACCGCACCATGAATGAACTTCACCTGTTCTTTTCTGATCAAAAACCTACTAATATATATATATATATATATATATTAAATAAAAGTAACTAAAAAAACCTATGACCTTCACTAAAGCTGTAAAGTAATACACGAATAATTTATAATTAGAAAACTTTTTATATACCGTCTCCAAGGAACAGAAATTCAATTAAAACCATGAATTATTAAAAAATGTTTAGTTAGTATTTTAATTAGTATTTTAAATTAATATTTTCTAGACCTCTGCTGCTTTAAAAATATATATCTTGGCATATAAATTATATTTTGAATTGGATTTTTTTATGCCTTTTGAACAAAAATGTTTAAACATGCATTTTCTAAGAAGTTTGGCCAACAAAAGTTTACCTTGTATAATCACTAAAAAGCTTTTAATATTCCCTGACAGGATATTCAAGTGGTAGACTAGCCTTACACAAAGTGTTAAATTATTTATTAGAATTAACAGCAATAATTGTAACCTGCACTTCCATCAATTAGGATTTTAATTTTAATATGATTTGTTCCTTTTAAATACACTGGTCATCAAAATTAAAGTATAATGAGAAATAAGTTGCATCCAATGCTCAATGCTGCAATTATTTATGTTAACATGAATTTGCACTTCCGGGCATACACAGATGGAAATATGCAAATTTGGGAATTGACAATGTGACATATAATGGATGTATGTTGAAATTCTGGTCTGTAGTGTTGTTTAAAGTGAATGTAATTTCTCAGAGTGATGAGTATTCAATAGTTAGGCTCAAAGACCTCATTTAAGTGAAGGTCAAAAGTGGCGAATAATTATTAGAGTCAAAGGAAATCAAACACAATTGAAGGTTACTCAAGATTTGAATACCCTTCAAAAAGTGTCATATCAAGAGTATGGAACTGCTTTTTAAGTACTGGATCATTTGAAGTTAATAGACAGTCTGGGCATGGGTGACCAAGAGCAACTACTGCATCAGAAAACCGTTTTCTGTCATTAGTGGCTCAAAGAAACCTTGAAGCGACTACAAGAGACCCTCAGGCTGCCACAGGAACTCGAATTAACTGTTCTACTGCTGCAGAAAAGCTTAATGAGTTTGGACCGTATGCGAGAAAACCGTGCCCACTCAATCCAACTTCCAGAGGGGCATGTTTAAAATGGTGCTGTCATCATGTTCAGTGGAGCCCAGACAACTAGCCTCGAGTATTGTTTACTGACAAGTGCAGATATAGTCTGAACAGTGATTCTAGATGTGTTTTGATAGAGGAAGCAACTTGCCTTCCATGGTCTGTAGAATATCCCATTTCTCTGACTGCAGTTTAATGGTTTGGGGAACAGGGTTTGTAGCGCTCCTTACAAGTGCTTATAAGTCTTATATTTGAAAATAAAATATAAAGCTCCTTATAGGTGCTTACTTTTGTTTTAAAGCCCTTATTTTTTTGTTTTTAGTGCTCTCTCTCTTTTTTTTTTTTTTTTGCTTTTAGTGCTTTTTTTAATGAACGCGCATTTTCCCCCCCGTACCAAAGCCAAAACTAAATAAACAACTTTTCTTCCTTATATGAAACGTCAGATGGTGAATCATACTCCCGGAAATAGCTTTTCCCCCTTTCTCCAGCATTGATGTAACCTATGGTGCGCGCAAGAGTACAGACAGGTGCACGTCGTTCTATTGGTCAAAGAATTGCGAAAACCGTAGAAAATTCCAGTACATTCGGTATTCTTTTTTTCCCACCCAAATACTACACACGTTGATTTCTATCAGATTTTAATAGTTTGCATTTCATTCCGCGTGGTCAGTTCATATTCATGTTTATTATGATCGTTATGCTTATATTGTGAGCATATGTATGAATATTTATAATAATATAGTTGCAGTAGCTGCTGATATAGTTTTAGTGCTGAATAAACTTCCAAAAATGGGTGTATTTTTACACAGATTAGCTTTCTAAGGAATAATGTTCGGAATGGCTTAAATAAAAGGAAAGTAATCGAATAGTCAAACTCCCTCCCCCCAATACATTCTACACTACGGAGGTTGGGAAGTTCTACCCTTTCTCTCTAAAATCCCTAATGTTGAAGCAGCAGACTTTTTTTTTTTTTTTTTTTTTTGTCACTCTCCAATCTGGATTGAATTTTTGCGGTCTACCCAACTCAAGTGAAGAATGATTCTATTCCAGAAATTTAACGCAGTCTGTTCAAACCCAGATTCGTAAGTCTCTTTCTTTTCCTTTATTTAGTTCTTTATTATCCGAATACCAGCAGCTGTTGATTCCATTTGCGTAATATCATGTATGGAAGAATTACGCCACACGTATGGTGCAATAACGTTTGCGGTATTTTGCAGAGATAATTAATTTTGATATTCAGTCTGAGATTTATTTATAAGCACTTAAAAGAGTTTTACTGTGCTTTCTAAGCAGAATATTTTTCTGTTCCATTGGTCTATTTTTATATGATGCACATATCGAAATGTCAAAATTATTTATTTAGCTATGAAATCTAAAGAGCGGCTACAATTTTCCCCCCCTCCTCTTTTTCCAGTTACGCTCGACTATACGGAATATTCAGCAATTTCCGAGTATGGGGGTTAGTTAAGGTTTTACTGTTAAAAGATGACTGACTGCATGAAGCAATTTCCCGTCTCCTGATTTCAGAAATGTTCCTCTTTTTTACTTAAATTACTTTGCTTGGAATATATGTTAAGGGAAAACTGTTATGCAATGAAAATTTAGAAAATGTTCAGAATTTTGATTTAAGTTAAATTATTTAAATATTAATATGAATGGAAAAATAAATTGTATTATGCCAAGCGATAAATTGTATTATGCCAAGCGAATACAATTAATATGGCTTATTATTATTTATTTTCTATATTTTGAACTGAAATTTCATCATTAAATCTTGTAATATGGTTTAGTTCTGCATAGTTTTTTTCCTCTCATTGTAAACTAATTTTGTAAATTCAACTGTCATTTAAAAAAGTTGCTTGTTTTCCATGGTTGAGGTAATGCTCACTCTCTTAATAGATATTAATTTAAGGTTATGCAATTGTGTATAATGTAATTAGACAGGTGCTTATTTTTTCCTTAAAATGCGCTTGAAAAGTGCTTATAGGTGCTTATTTTTTTAACTAAAGTGTGACTACAAACCCCGGAGAAGAATCATGACAAATGGCCACACCGAGCTGCATATCTTTCAAGGACGTTCTGTAACTGATCAAAGATATGTGGATGAGGTATTGGAACCCCAAATTAGATTGCTTATGACTGCTGTTGGTTTTGCTGATGGATGACAATGTTTGGCTTCTTTGAGCAAATGTGTCAGAATGCGTGCAAAAAGAAGATATCATTTGAATTGATTGGCCACCTTACTCACCGGACTTGAACCCGATTGAACATGTGTGGGATGCCTTAGTGCATAGAATTTCAGTGCACCCAATTCCTTCCCGGACCCTTCAGAAGCTGAAAAGTGCACATTTAAAAGTGACTTGCAATTCCACAAGACGTGATCAACACTTTGGTAAGTCTATAAAATCGAGATATGAGGTATGAATATCTGTTTGAGGTGATGAGGTATGCATATCTGTCTAAGGTGCCCAAACACCGTATTAAAGAAAAATTCTTTCCGCAAGAGGTGACTTTATTTTTCCGTCATATATTTACTAATGCTTTGGTACAAATTTCTATTGAATAATTTTTCGTTAAGTATCATATGACTTTTATTTCTGTCATTATCTTTTAATTTTGATGACCAGTGCATTTGCTTTATGTGCATCATTTTTGTAGAAATGAACTATCAAAACTTTATTTGTACAGTTTAACTTTTTTTGTTTTTATGTGTTTTCAAAATTTTAAGGCATTATTTATAACTTTGCCCTCATATTCTCATTGCAATATGTTCAGTATTTGATCATTTAAACTACAAATATACTTTTGTGAAGATTTCTTAACATAGTGCTTAGTGGTAATGCAGCGGAATGTCCAATGCCTGTGGCTAAACCTAATCGAACCATCTGCAATGAAGGTACACAGGTGTGCTGGAATGGTGAGTGCATTGGTTCTATTTGCCAGCGATATGACATGGAAGAATGCTTCTTGACAGAAGAGCATCAAGCTAAACCTGAACAGATGTGTGAAGTTGCTTGTCAAGATCCTGGTGAGTTTTTAGGATTATAATTTTATATTTTATGAAGGAGTGGTAAAATGTTGGGCATGTTACCAGCAATGTATGAAATACTGGCATTCTGTAGAATAACTAAACATTTTTAGGCAAAGTATGAAATATGAGAATTATTATATACTTTACCTAGGCATTTTATCGAATGGCAAATACTCTTTAAGCAAAGTGTGAAAGAAAGGTCATGATAAGGCTATTATTTAAAAGATGTTATTTTTAAAAAATAAAGATTTTTTTTGAAAAAATAATGAAAGATTGAGTGAGATGATCTTGGTACACCATAATAAATTTACATTCTCTGTCTGGTGGAAACTGGAAATCAATAGATATCTACCTGGCAATGAGAATTAAGTTCAGGAAAAAATCATAGGTTTTACGACAGTGCCCTATTGAATCTTTTTTTTTTTTTTTTTTTTTTTTTGCCCCTGGCAGGGCTCATGAAGATGGATGTGCAGTTCTGTATCATAACATGTAATGGTTTGTGTTCTGCTGAAAGTTCTTTCAACATTTTGTTACATCCTCTGTGTCCAATAGCCGAATGAGTTTCATGAAGTAGTGTTTGCTATTTTATCATTTGGCATTCTATGGAATGCATAGTCAATGTATAAAATGTTTAATCATTTCATACATTGCCAGCCAGTTTTTGGCATTCTAATAGAATGTTTATGTACTCTATATAATATTGTATTTCATGCTTTGTTGATAACAGATATATTGGAAAATTTGATGATGTTAATTATTAGGCATATTTACATATTTTCCTTGATTTTTTAGCCAAGAAAAATGCACTGTTTTAATTTGATAGTTGCTTTTATCCGTTTTTATTAAAATACTTTTATGAAACAATTTAGTGATTGGTTTTGAGTTATCCGATCTTTTGCATCCTCTAATAAAATATTTAGTTAAAAAAGTCTCTATGTGATTACTGGCTGTAAAAATTGCATGTATTTGATACCTGGTTGCTACGTGTTCCTTTTTTTATTTTTAATTTCTGTTCTGAGAGTATTTAATGAAAAGTGCCATATTGATTATTGTATGAAATTGGCCGAAAGAGCTTTTAAACAAATATAAATGTTTGAGGTTTATTTATTTATTATTTGAACTTAATCTTATCAAAACAAAAGTGATCCCTGTAATTTCTTAAATTGCTATTAATATTTTAATTTGTTTCATAGGGAAAGAAAGTACTTGTAGAACTACATATGAGATTTCGAAAATGAAGAATATAAGTGGTATTAAGTTGCGTCCGGGTTCTCCATGTAATGATTTCAAAGGCTATTGTGATGTATTCCAAAAGTGTCGAGCTGTGGATGCTGAAGGACCACTTGCTCGATTAAAAAATCTTCTTTTTAATCAGAAGACTTTAATGACCATTAAACAGTGGGTTACGGTAAGAGAGATATTTATTAAGCCTATAATGATATCTACTTAACTGTATAATAGAAGCAGTTACAAAATTAATGGATATATGTTAGTAATTTTTAGTAATGAAATAAAAAAGACTTAAACTATTAAAAATAATATGTGTCATTTTTATCTTCAAGCCAATAATTCATCATGTGTATTGTGCTAAATACACCTTATTATTTTAATACTTTCATTCATACTCATATTATATTCATGCTATTTGTTTTATAATTGGAAAGTACATGTGAAGTTTTTATAAACAGAGTGTATTTGTTTACCAAATTTTCCTTTCATTTAAGAGTATAAAAGTTTAAAACCAATTCAGCAGGTGGGTATACCTTTTCTTTAATATAATATTCTTCTGCATTTGATAAAGAGTTTTATTCAAAACGTTTCCCTATCATTTAGTCCTTTTCTTTCCACCGGTACTTTTCCGTACTGACATTTTCTTTGTATATAAATATGTTAAAAAATGTGATAATTTTGCATTTACTTGAATCCTGATTATATGATTCCCAAAGTCTAATTTTATTAGTTATTTATGTGCAAGCAATCCAAACGTAATGTAAAGATTAGAAAGGAAAAAATGTTAACAAAACTCGTGTATGACCTGTAATCTACAAAATTGTCTTAATCTTGCACAACCCTTGTCCCCAAGGTGTGCAGATATTGGAATTCTACTGTAATAGTTTTTATAATTCTTTTACACTGTACTCTCTTTAATTCATTTATTATCCATGATAAATTCAATCCATATAATGATCTTTCTAAAATAGTTACTAATTCTTAGAAATGTGAATTGCTTATGATATTGGACTTAGTCAATTGAAGGAATTTACAAGAGTAACTCAACATTAATAGGTTAAACACTTGATCCTTCTTGCAGACTTTCGGTAGATATGAAAAATTTTGTCTCACCCAAAATTTACTTCCCACTGCTTTCCGTTAAATTTGAAAGATTTTGCTGTCCCTTAATTTTTGGCTTGATGCTTTTCAAAATTCTTAATACAGCCGCATCAGCTCTGGCACTTGTCCTGGGTTTATCTGAAAAACAAAGCTGTTATTTTCAATTCAAACTACATTAAATGTAGTTTTTTGGCTCATCAGTATCATTTACAAAATTTATGTTTTTGCACGTGGAAAGAAATTTTTCAAGTTTTTTCATATCAATGCACTCTACATTTTGCAGTGGAATTAGCTGAAGTCTGTAATCATTGCCATTCATAATGTCAACATAAAAGGCTACATTTCTCCTTGGTATTCAATTACTAATAAATAAATAATAAAAAAAAAGCTTAGACATTGCTGCAAGAATCATTTTTTAAGCTGACTTGTGTTGATATCATGCGGTGATGGAAGCCAAAAATATTAAATTATGATTCCCTAAGTTGGCATCAGGGAAATAAACTATTCAGTAGGTGTGAAATCAACAATGTTTCAATGTAGAATTTTTCGGTCTGAGATGTATGCCAAGCAGAAACATGGCCATGAAGCTAAATTATCGATTGTACAGAACTATGCTAATAAATGATTGTTTCTTTATTTTGGAGATATTTTATTTCTGACACCAGCAAAAGCTGGAGATGAATGTCAAAAGTTTTTTGACAAGGTGGGGACAGAACATGATGCATTCAAACAATTGTGTTACAGAAATATATTTTCCATTCTCTAAAAGGAATTGCTCATGCTAGAATCCATGGATTCAAAAAAGAATCACAGTCATCTTCCAAATCACTGATAAGTAATGAAGGCTACACTTGGGGCAGTTGCACTAAGTGCACAACAAATCACTACAAATGTAAAACTAAGAAATTATGCAAAGCAAAATACCATAGAAGTTCACCCTTTTCAACAAGTAATGATGATAAATAAAAAATAAATATAAGGTCATGCCTTTTTTCTGACTTTGGCTGATCACTCTGTGCCATTTTATGAACTGTTCGGCCAAAGCCTGGAATTGAGAAACGATCGGACATTGGTTGGTCAGTTAACAGTAGCATAGGCCAATTCGCAGACGACTTGCTGATTTTGAGCTTAGGTCCTGACATAGATATATACGTGTAAGATAAAAAATATGAAACCAAACTTATAATTTTAGTTAGCTATAACCTCTTTTATTTCTTATATAATTTGGAGGCTTCCTCTCTCTATCTTAAAAATAGCACTACAGACAAAAGTCGTTAATTCAGACACCCATAATCCGGACCTCAAAGCTACAAACTTTCTGCTCGTCGCTTTGACCATGCGTAAGTTACGCTGCGAATATGGTGTGCGCCTCCACGTTTAAGTATACGAACGGTAATATATAAGCTAACATTATCTAATTCAGTTAATGTTGCATTGTGTTGTTCATATCTCGAATTGATACGGATTATTTTTTTGCAGATGCTAGAAGCAATTTTTAAAAGTAGCTGAACTTTCATATGTCAAATAGAGTTTCATATATATTTACTAATATGTAAAGGATCTCAAAGCGAAGATGTTTCGAGTCCATAACAAAAGTGGACTTGCTGCAAAAAAGGACCTAACCTTAAGAAATCTGTTATATTTCACCTGCTTGGGGCGGGGGGGGGGGAGTCGCAGCACGCAATGAATTGGAATTGATCTGTCGCACTATACGTACCTTCAGGCAGCTGTTTTCTTTTATTTGGCACAATTATAGTTTGAACAGCGGAATTTAACTGAACAAGAATGAGTCTGTTATAAATTAAAGAGTAAGTATATCACATAAAACGAGCAACTTAAACAACTTACATGAAAGAATGTTTACTAAGTAAACAATAATATTAAGCTTTTTTTGTAAATGTGATACCCTTTAGATCATAATTGTTCTTATTTCGTAAATTACGGTTAATATTTTAATTTTATAATTTCTGCATGCCGTCTTACCAGATTTAAACTGATGATCTGTAATCCGGAAAAATCGATATCCGGAATCGCTGAAATCCCGGTGAGTCCAGATTAACGACTTTTGACTGTATAAGACTAAACTGTGTCATTCAAATTAATCATGCAATCCTACATGATGCTTAATGCAGATACCTCTTGCCTAATCAGCAAATTGTAAACGAAAAATTTTTAACTCGAACTGAAACTTTTTGACTCTCTCCCTTCTTCGTCTGAATTGCTGTGACACTTTTTGCTTAATGTATAACGAACTTTCCTTCTGGCAAGATACTTTGCGGCTACATTCTTTGTTCACTGAATATGTGCTGAGCTAACAAAAATGTAGGGTGCATAAGATGCTCATCCATATGTGAACAAAATATTGCAAATCCTGAATTGCTTTCCTCAATAATAAAACTATCTTGAAGCCGGCCATGTCTGCCTTGCTAAGTTTTTTTCCCTAAGCATCTATTACACCACCGCCAAGTTCCAAATCATTTATATCATATCATATATATATAAGAAAGTAACTTTTCCCAAGCTTTCAGAATGAAAAAATAATCATATGCAGGGAAATACATCTTAATAACCAATTTCTTTGCATACCAACGGTCTAGCGGTAAACTTGCGAACACTGGTAGCCCAGTCTGGCTTCGATTCCAGGTGAATGGACTGGCTGTGTTTTTTTCTTTTTTCTCTCTTTTTTTTTTTTTTTTTTTTTGTGTAATGTGAATATGAGCCAGTTCTCACGGAAAGTCCTGCATGAAGTCATCCCTTCCCTTAGGCAGATAACCCTAGTGCCTAAGTCAAATAAACCAAACCAAATTCCCTTCTGTAGAAGATTTTTTGAAAGTAATAATTTCTAAAAACATTATTTAATGATGAGATTGAACATAACTAAATTTTCATGTACCGTAACAACAAGCAACTTTTCCACAAATCAGAAATCATCTGAAATTGTTGGTGGTAGTCTTAGAAAGATTTTATTAAATATCATAATATTTAATTTTAAATTTATGTGTATAAGCTTAAAAATTTTTATGTGTTTAGTTTAAGTCATTATATTGATATAAAAATATACAGAATATTTAAAATATTCCATGAATCTATGAAAGTCTTGTCATTTTATTAAATAGTTGCATGACACAATTTTTTCTGCTATATATATTGTAGACATATCCTTTACGTCTTAACTATTGTAGTTTGTGAATATGGTGAATATGAATATAGTTTTTATTGTACTGAAGAATAGTCATTGACTGGCTAAGTTGCTATGTGAGTATAAATATCTTTATAGACTTACTGATTAATGTTTTAAACAAATCTGTTTAGAGCTGTTGGTGGGGTGTTATGCTCTCAGTCGTGGGGTTTGCAATATTTATGGGCATTTTCATAAAATGCTGTGCCGTCCACACTCCCAGCAGCAACCCCAGGAAAGCCCCAGCACTCAGGATACAAGATACTTTAAGGCATCCAGCCGATACACTTCGAAGAAAAGTAAGTGTTTTGCTAAACAGTTTAAATCATCCTTCCTGAAATGAGATTTCAATCAATTAAAGAGTTTTTGTTCCTTGTCATATAAAAAATTTTATTTCTATTTGAAAACGAGAAAGAAAAGGTACTGCTCTGTTATCAGGACCAAGTTCACAAATGTATGTATGTAAGTCTTCATGCATGCATGTATATATGTAAGTACAAATGTATGTGTGTATATGAATATACACATACATTGTATGCACATTCATGTGTTCATACATTTCTGAATGTGGTCCCAAAAACAGAACAGTAAGTACCAAAGGAAATAATAGATTTTATATTTTATAAATGATTACCTATCTTCTTTCTCTAGTGATATTTAATAAATATATTAATCTATAATTTTGTGAGAATTTTTTTATTATTTGCAGGCATTTTTTTTTTATAATTCCATTAAATCTGATTTTATAGACATTTATTTGTGATTTCCTGTTTGTCTTTTTAGAGGATTTAATGAATATTTAAGGACTGCACTAAACTACAGTTTTTAATAGTTATTTTTAAATATGCTTTTTTATGCTGTAGTTATTTAATATGGTGAATGCTTTTTAAATAAATTTTTATTAATTTATTCATATATATAGCATAAATACTTTTTGTATAACATTAAATTGCCTTTTCCTCAGACATATTATTTTGATAATTACTGTTGTTGTTGTTTACACTCGCTTGTCAGGCGTAGTCAGCCCAAGCCCATGAAATTCCTCGTGGCAAGGAGCGTAAGATTATGCCTGTTGTTGGCAACAGCCTTGAGCACCTAACAAGTGAGTGCGATTTGGCTCAGTTCCGCCCCAATTTTTATGGAGAGCACCTGGGGGGGACGGGTTCGAGAGTCTTCCCACCTCTCTCCCCTTTCACCAGGCCACACAAGAGGACTTTCGGCTCACCGCATATTTAGAGTACCGCCATGCCGCACTGACACTATACATTTACAAACATTCATGCCGTCTCTAGGATTCAAACCTTTGCCCGTCGGTACAGCAGTCAGCGACGCCAACCACTATACCAATTGGGTGGCTTGATGATTACTACTAGACTTATTAAGTTAAAATGTAATTAAAAATTTTACTTAAATACACTCAATAAAATTGTTTTTCAGCCATATCTCTTTTTGTAGAAACCTTGCCATCTTCACAAAAAACTACAATGAAAAACATTCTGAAGGAATGTAGTGATGTATTTGTTATTAAAATAAGTGGTTCTTTTTACTGTCTATAAGAAGTGTTTAAATGAAAAGTTACAAAACAGCCTAAAAACCAAACCGGTTGAAATTTGAATATGTCGCTTTAACATAATCTAGTAACACAACTAAGGACGTGAATGCAGTGTCTGGCGTGGTTGTCCATATGCACAGGTGCCCTTACATGATGCAGGGTATAAGTAGGTAGTTCTGTATTCTTTCCAGTTAATGCGGCAGTGCGTGTGATGACATCATGCTGTTCAAATTGCAAAACTCAACAATTGAGGAGCAGCGAAGTGTTGTCAGATTTGTAATTGTGGAGAGGGTTAAACCAGCTGATATTCATCACCAAATGGTGGTTGTATATGGGGAAAACTGCGTGTCTGACATGTCAATGAAGTGAAATGCCTAGTTTTTGTGAAGGCGGGGTGTGTTTCAGTGATGATCCAAGACCAGGCCAGGCAAACATGATAATCGCAGCTGAACTCATCGACAAGGTGAACAACCTGGTGAGAAGTGGCATCTCAAAGGGAAGCAATTTCAACTCGGATGACAAACTGAAGTACACAGTGAAAGATTGGTTACCGTTACAGCTGCAGGAATTCTAGGAAGAGGGAATCCTTTGGCTCGTGAGACAGTGGGATTAGCTGTGCTTAGGCCTCTGGTGACTACTTATGATTAAAGACGTCAATATTTGCATAGTGCCATTACATACCTTTTTATTTGAACACAGGTTATACGTTACTATCTTTCTGATTTATGAGTTTTATAGAACACTTGTTATCAAGTACAGTTCTGACAGTTTAATGCATTTTTTGATGTTCTAACATGTGAAATCTTATATTTAAATATTCTAAATTTAGAAACTTCATTTCTATTTCCATATGCCTTTTTCTTGGTTAATAATTTTAATTTCTCGTATGTATAACTTTGGCATGTTTCCCTTCAGATTAGTGATTGCAATCTTAATCAGATTTATTGTTGTAACATAGTTTAAAATTATAATTTTGCTGTGTGAATTTGTTTAATGTGCAGAAAGGCTTCTTGTCTCTGTGTGTATATTGTTTTCCTTCAACTTTTTTTAATTAAAGTTATTTATTTGATTTATAATAGCGGCACAGACCTCAGGGTCCACCGTCTGGACCTCCACCTCCATATCCGGGACCAAGGCCTTCAGCTCCACCAGCACCTGGACCAGCTATTGCTGGACCCTCACACGGGTACGGAGAAGGGAGGGGCCATTATAATCGTCGAGACAAAACTCAGTTGCCCCCCCCCACAAGGAACAAAAATCGAGTAGATGACCATGCATATGTGTATAGCAAAGGTACTGCTATTGAAATGAGGGGGAAAGCATATGCCTGACCCATACTGTGCTTAGATTCAATTATCGAATGCCTTTTCTCATCAGCTCATCATGGATTTTCATCCATGATGTTTTACATTCTGTGAACGTGTCAGCACAGAAGTTATTCTATTAATCATTTTAACCTCTCCTAAAAAGAATGTGAATGGCAGCAGAACACATCAAGATGAATAGATGGCAGCATTATCGTCTTCTGTTATTTAGCATATTTACCGGTGCTGTATATGGTAACTCTCAGATGGATGGAATTACTGAGTATGGGTGTGTTTTGCTACATGGTTGCATCATTTTTGTATGATAGGATTTTCAGATGTTAAACATAGTCATTTGCAAAGCATCTGTTGTTTTTCCAATATTCTGTGGAATATGTTTGTAGAGTCCAACATACGCATGGCCAAGAATTTTGGAAGTACAACATAGTTCCCAAGATCTGCATTGAGTGATTGAAAGTATCATTAATTTGCATTATGATTTATAGACATAAAAATATACATATTGACTTAAAAGAATGCAAGCTAAGTCAAACCTTATATTTCCTTTTAAAAATTTAATTTGTATAACATATAGTAATCAATGAATTAAGTAAACAAATTTTCATTATATAGTCAAGTTTTTTTTTTTTTTTTTTTTTTTTTTGTGTGTGTGTGTGGTGTGTATATATATATATTTCTTTTATTTAGGCCTCTATTTTGTATTGTAGTTTGTAGAAGTTTTAAATTAGCAAATGTTCTGGGGATTTATGACCTGAACACTTTTTGCTTTCTATGTATATGTGTGCGAGTTTTATTATTTTTTAAAGAATATATATGAAATATACTACTTACTTTATTTTGGTTTATATATCAAACTCATTCAGAGTTCAAAGTAATAAACTTTAAACAGTAGAAGAATATTATTAAAATCATATTTTATTGATACTGTATAAACAAGTAAAATTTTAATTGATATTATTTGTCTGTTTTGTATTATATGTATACTAATGTATTAAATTATATGCAACAGAATCTCATCATAACAAATTTTGCAGTTATATCCCCCCCCATTTCTCAGAAAAGACAATTTTTAAAGACAGTTATAGAATAATAGTTTTAAATTAAAATATGTGTGATATTTTTATTAAACGGGGGGACTTACTTCATCTAATGATGTGTGGCCATCATGCCAGTATTTGTCGTATTTTAACATATTTGTTTGCTTTTTCACAGTCATTTGATGTGGATAAACAATCTTGGAATACTGTCTATCTATATATATACATACTATTAGCATTAAGTATTGAAACCGTAAAGCAAACTTTAAAACATTATTCTTCTTTGAAGGAAAAAAAAATTGGTAAATATTTAATGGTATTCCTTTTAGTTAAATAGGAAACTTATAAAATTACTATTTATTGTATAAAAATTGATCATTAATATATAATGCAAAAAATTGATTTTTGCAAGCGTTTATGAAAGTATCCACATTTTTCCCACTGTCATGTATATGTTGGCGAATGATTAACAGAATGTTTAATTATACACAGTCAGAAATTTAAAGATAATGAATGTTATGAATATGTATTCAAATATAGATAAATTAATTTACATTTTAATAACTAAACTTCTTTACAAAGAGTACATCTGAAATTTGTTATAATGAGATTTTGCTTGTATTTAATATTTATTTAGGAAATACTTTTTCAATTCATATTGTATTAAATAAATCTTGGTTATTATTTCTGTATGTGAGTACCTTCCTCTGTTTTCACTTCTGTCATCAGCATATTTATGCCTTTTCTCTTTGCTCTGTTAATTATAGTTGTACTTAATTTGGTAATTTACATTTTGTAACATTTATGATTTAATGTTTCTCAAATATATATATATATATAATTAAAGTCTTGAAAACTGAATAATTATTTCCCATTATTTTGAAAGAACATGTGATTTAGCAGTTTTAGTATGCTTTTGACTACAGTTTAGATAATTTCTGTTTCTTTTTTTCTCTCTTTTTTTAAAAATATTTTACCTTTTCCATTTAGGAGATTTCTTTTGTTTCATACTTTTTTTTTATTAACAAATTAATCCTGTTATGAAAATGAGATTAAATATTTTTTACAAGTTTTTATTTCATAATTCTAGTTTTATATTTTAAAAGAAAAATGTGCTCACTATATGTTCATTATGTGTGTAACTTCATGTTATATATAACTAGAAGTTGAGAGCTGCACATTGACAAATTTTCTTTTTTGTAGAGGAAAATCATTTATTTCTATAATAATATTTATTAAAATGATCGTACAAACATAATATTGAAATATTATTAGAAATGTCGGGCATGTTTGAATTTGCAAATAATAGCTGATTACTCATTAAAATATTAATTTTCATATCAGGAAAAAAATAGTTTTATGTTAAAAATAATTGCTGTAAAAAACTACTCCTTTAAAAAGAAATATAGCAACAGATTTTTGATATGAAGAAATGTATTAAGATTATTTCCTTATACTTCAATCATACAATATATCATCTGCTAAAATTTTAATTTTTTAGTATAGTAATCTTTCATCAATGCTAAATTGTCATGAAAAATAGTAAAGTTTTAAATACTTCAATTGTATAAATTATATTTTTATAATTAATATCAATACTCTTTTTTTAAACCACTTAATTAATTTTCTTAAATTCATAGTTTACGTGTGTATTCTAAGTAAACTTCAGCTTTGATGTAATATTTGAGCATACTTTTGTATATGTTCCTGTATGCAGATATGTGCTTGAATTATGTGGTCGAAGTTAAATTTTATGTTACTATGTACATAACGTGCAGTGTCTTGTGGTGTTTTTCAGCATTTTTGTTATCAAAATTCTTTCAGAAATTTTAGCTTTTAGTATTTTCTTTATAATACAAAATATGTTTGTTTTGTGCTTTTAAAGAAATTACAAACCTCTTCCTGATTTATTTCTAAAGTAGATTATTTTTATTAACATATTTATTAGTGTATTGAATTTTATATTAAATTTGTGTAAAAAGAATCATTATATGTGCAGTTCTTATCTGGATATGTTTGTTTTTAGTTAACACAAGAAACATTTGCGTTTCCTATAGTCATGGACCATTTTTTTAGTAATATTGATATTCAGTTTCAGTGAACGAGCCCATTCTACTTTTATTATACCTATTTATTTATACTTAGGATTATTTATTTATGCTATAAATGTTTAATGCATTTTTCATACTAATTATTAACAGCTTACCTTTTCTTACATTTGTTTTAGTAAAGAAATCCAAAATGTTCAAGTCATGCTATTGCCTTTTTACAATTGCTATCATTTATTTATTTGAACTCTAAATGTATTGAAACATGCTTAGAATTTCATTTAAAATTTCTTTACATTTCTGGAGATCTGATATAGAAGAAAATCAGCTAATATACACATTTTTAAATGCATTTAATATGTCTTTAAAATTGAATGTGATAGCAGTTTATTAGTTTATTTTTAACTTCCCCAAAAAGTTATTATATCTTTCTAATATATATTATTTCTCCACTTGAAATTTAATACAATGATGTTCTTTTAAAATTTATTTAACTATAATCCACAGATCTCTAAGGGGCAGGGGATTTATAAACTTTTGCAAAATTTTTATTTATTTTAATTATTTATTGTTAATCAAAGCTTTCCATTTCCCCCCTACTCATATAGTTTTAATATTCATGAATGTATTTATTTTAGAGATAAAATTATCTTTGAACTCAATTCTGACTCTCATATTCAGGCATGGCCAAGCTGTCACTTTTTATAACACTTAGAAGAGAATTCAGAATTCATCATGCATTTTTTTTTTTTTAAATTGAATGTTTCTAGATTTTATTGGTTAATCTAAAATTTTCAACATTGTTTAACATCCACTGTGTTTTGAGAGTTTCTAGACATGAATATTTTACCAATTTCGTGGAAAACTTTGTTTCGAAATCTTGAATAGATCAGCCAATCTGTGCTACCTGAATTATTTGTTTAGATCAATTTGAACTAGATTTATTCTGCTTAATCAAAATTTGGTGTCATTTTAATATATTATTGGAAATCTCATTTTATTACATCTCCATCATTGAAGAGGTGTTGAATATTTACTCATTCTGTTTATTATATTCCATTTCAAATTCATTCACATTCCAGTCCCTTTATCATATCATAGAGAATTGTTTAATTGTGAATAAATAGTTCCTTAATATGTTTGCTGAACCAAAGGTTTATCTCAGGGGGAGGGTAGTTGATTTTCTATCAAATTATTTGAAGTGTTAGAGATTTTTATGCAGATTTGAAAGCTACATAACCAATAACCACTTTGTTATTTAAGGAAAAATTTTAGGGAACATTAAAATCTTGTACTAATTTGTTAACTTGTAAACTCGTAACTTAAAAAAATCTAGCAGAGTACGATTGTATCAAAACATCAATTTTTAACACTGAGTTGATTCTTTTTTTAACTACTAGTTATGAAATTTATCATTGACAATGTCTCCAGCTTTGGAAGAATTATCTGGAAGTTTCATAAATTGTTTTTAAAGTTTTACTTTACTTTTTTTTTTTTTTTTTTTAAAGTGAATCTTGAACTTTTTTTTTTTTAATCTAGTTTGGCCATTCCTGTTTATATTTGAGAACATTTTATACTTCGCTGATTCCCCAAACATATCACTTGTCCAATGTTTGCATTCTTGTTTGAAAAGTTAATGGAGAAAACTGTAATACAGAATTACAGTTTTGAATTGTACATATGTAAATTTTTTCCCTTGAAATCTTTCATAAATTTGTGGATAAATTCACTAGAACATATGTATTTGTAATCTAACAGCCATTTGATGAAATGTTTTTCAAAAATTAAAATTCTTAAATTTTTTATTTATTTATTTTTTCAGAAATGTCTAGCATGTTTCTTAAAATTCAGATGTTAATATGTGGGTTGTCTAAGAAACAATGTATTTTTAATGCAGAGTAGTAAATATAGTATAGCAAGTCCAGCAGAAATCTATTTCAATACATTTTATAGTACATGATACTTAACTGGTTCCTATGAGGTGACTTGGGATCAGATAATTTGCTTGTACTTTCATAATTCTTCACCACTTTTAATGTAAAATATTTATTATTAGTTCTGTAAGCTGTTATTTTTAACCTGTAGTGAAAGTGGTTGATATAAAGTTGCAGCAAAGGCTAAATCTGAACGATAAGCCAAAATTGTATTCTTGTTTTAGCTGTAAGCAAAAATATAGAGTCTGGTGTTGAAATAAAAGCAAGATGATTAGAATACTTAATACTCGAAATGTTCATTGTGATATTTTTTATGACAAACCTACCAAGTCCACCTCAAGTGACCTTCACTACGTGATTTCAAATAAGTTATTTATTTATTTATTATTTATTTTTTTTTTTGAAAGGTTGGTTGAATTGGTTTTCATGTTATTCTGGGCAGTGAAATTTTGCATTTGCACATATTTTTTCTGTAAAGTTACTTTAGCTGTAAATTATCCAACACAAATAAGAACCGTTTCCTTTGAGAATCTTTTTTCTATCATTGTAAAATTTTTAAATGTTCATACATAGCAAGATCTAAGGTTTAATAAATTCAGTACAGTATAGAAAATGTATAATAGATGTAAGGAAATTGACTAAACAGTTATTGTGTTTTTAAAAGGGATTTGAATAAATTTTATGTAAAATGTTTTTAATAAATAAATTCTAAAAAATTTTATATTTATATATATTATTATATATTTTTCAAGTTTCTTGGGTGTTAAACATTCCCCCCTGAAAATATGCATGCATATATGTAAAATTCTTTACACCTTTTTATTTTAAATGAAAAGTAACTCCCTTTTTTTAACATTGATAATATAACTATTATTATTTTTTAAAATTTATTACAATTAAAAGCCCTTTTTAACTTATGATTTTTATCAGACATAGTTTCTTTTTAAAAATACTGAAGACTTTTTCGCTTGCTCCATCTAATACAGTAATAACATAGCTCAGTGGTGCAGAAATTTTCGTATCTGCTGTTTAAGTTGTTGCTTTATTTTACAGTGAAATTTACTTTACAGTCATTTTTTTTTGAAAC